TGATTAATTTTTAGGTAAAGTAAAAAGAAATCTTCACTTCAAAAAAAAAAGAATACTGGGTTATACCACAATTGATCTGTCTCAAACCAATAGATTATGAGGTTGGATGCAGCCCAACAGCAAGCATCCCTGTGTCATAGTAGACAATATGGGAAATTCACACATAATCTAGTGCATGGGTATATTTCCATCATCACAGGGAATCACCAGATGCACACTCATAAAAACCCTTGCTACAATTTCTTATTAATTTCTGAAAGAAAATGTACAAATATCCATCATAATGTCATGATAAAATGTCATAATAAAAGTATGCAAATGTTGACATCGCCTTGTGTCTAGATCCAACAATTCCCATGTTTCAGCTCTCTAAATACACACAGCCTTCCAATTTGCTAATACAACTAAGATGTCCTTACTGGGGTCATACATTGCCTACTACTAAAGAACAGATGATTGAATAAACATTTGAGAATTATAATTATTCTTCAGTAAAATCGAGGTGAACTGTGATGATCGGAGGAAAGAACTCCGCAGAATGAGAGACGTAATATATCATTATCACCTAACGCTATCACTTTATCTCTTGGGAAATAGATGTTGCTATTGAGAGAAGTGGATTGTCAACTCAAATTATCACTTGATAATGATCCTGCTATAATCATACTTAGGTGGAAAACAATTAAAAGTACATGGAAGGTGCAGGGGTTGTGGTGTGTTTATTCATACTTAATGCAATCCTACAGGTCTTGAATTGAGAGCAAGGTATCATTAGTGAACGAATAATAGATATATTGCATATTGTCTACTTGTAATTAAAGGATAACTGGCCATGCATACTATTTCTTTTTGTCTGTTTGAGTTTTTGAATTGTATAAAAACTTTCAATAAAAAGTTATATTATTTTTCGATAAAAAAAAGGGTAACTGTGTTGAAGTTTAATCTAGTTTTACTAACCTGTTCTGTAAAGGTGATTTTTTGTGGTTGATACTATTACATGTTCTGTAGTAGAGAACAAAAGAAAAGAGCGCACCAACCTTGTGCATTACCTCAGTAAACAGTGCATGAATTTATTGATAAATTATACTCACAAGAGTAGAAGTAAAAAAGGCATATAACATCCATAACCAACACAGGATTAAAATACACGTGCGAGTTCCATCTGGAAGGGAGATAAACTCTTGGTCAAACTGACGCGCGTTTCGAAGGGGGGTCCCTTCTTCCTCAAAGCTTAAAAGGTCTACAATGACCATTTAGATTACTGATTTTAACCCTGTGTTGGTTACGGATGTTATATGCCTTTTTTACTGCTACTTTTGTGAGTATAATTTATCAATAAATTCATGAACTGTTTACTGAGGTAATGCGCAAGGTTGGTGCACTCTTTTCTTTTGTTCTCTACTACAGTCTATATCAGGGGTGGGCAAACTTTTTGACTTGAGGGCCGCAATGGGTTCATATATTGGACCCGGGGGCCGGACCAAGAGTAGATGAATGATGTGTATGTGTCATCCATAGTAAGTATAGTAATATTCCCCCATAGTAAGCATAGTAATTAATCCCCCATATAGTAATTCATCCCCCATAGTAATTCATCCCCCATATAGTAATTCATCCCCCATAGTAATTCATCCCCCATAGTAATTCATCCCCATAGTAATTCATCCCTCATATAGTAATTCATCCCCCATATAGTAATTCATCCCCCCTATAGTAATTCACCCCCCCCTATAGTAATTCACCCCACATAGTAATTCATCCCCCCTATAGTAATTCATCCCCCCTATAGTAATTCATCCCCCATAGTAATTCATCCCCCATATAGTAATTCATCCCCCATATAGTAATTCATCCCCCATATAGTAATTCATCCCTCATATAGTAATTCATCCCCCATATAGTAATTCATCCCCCATAGTAATTCATCCCCCATATAGTAATTCATCCCCCATATAGTAATAGTAATCATCCCCCCATATAGTAATTCATCCCCCCTATAGTAATTCATCCCCCCTATAGTAATTCATCCCCCCTATAGTAATTCATCCCCCATATAGTAATTCATCCCCCATAGTAATTCATCCCCCCTATAGTAATTAATCCCCCCTATAGTAATTCAATCCCCCATATAGTAATTCATCCCCCATATAGTAATTCATCCCCCATATAGTAATTCATCCCCCATAGTAATTCATCCCCCATATAGTAATTCATCCCCACATAGTAATTCATTCCCCATATTAATTCATCCCCCATATTAATTCATCCCCCCTATAGTAATTCATCCCCCATATAGTAATTCATCCCCATATAGTAGTAATTCATTCCCCATATTAATTCATCCCCCATATTAAGTCCCCAAGTCCCCCCTGTGTCAATTCACTTACCTTTGCTCCGCGCGTTCCTCTCGCCGTGTCCCGCGCCATTCCGGTGTACCATGAAAATCTGTCTCCTATGAGGATCTGTCCCCCTCGACGTATCTGCGCATGTGCCAGTTTCAGGCATTAGCAGCCGATGGGCGATCTCAGGCACATGCGCAGATACGTCGAGGGGGACAGATCCTCATAGGAGACAGATTTTCATGCTACACACCGGTCTTCAGGGCGGACTGTGAGAGGAGCCTAGCTCCGCGGGTCGGATTAAAAGGTCCGCAGGGCCGTAGACGGCCCGCGGGCCGTAGTTTGCCCATTGCTGGTCTATATCAAGCTTCCCCAGATTCATGTTAGAGCTGCACAATCTTTGATCAGTATTGGATGAACATTACCATTTTATTGGACTAACCTTCCTCTGATCTGAGCCCCTGAGCGCAGGAGGTGGTGGATGTGTGACTATTACATGTTTGTTAAAAGTTCCTATATCAGATAAAAACTAGCAAAATTCACGTTTGATTTTTATTTAAAATAATTCTTCGGAGATGGTTTTTCTTTCATCCCATGGCCAAATTTCTTAATGCCCATTCTCTTTGTGCCCCCTGTGATGCTGTAATGAGTCTCCATTAGTTGTGCATTCCCGCTATGTATTCTGAATCTATGTGCAGAGCATACAGCAGGCACGAAAGAGACACAAAGAGAAAGCATCCTTTCACACGGGCGTTCAGTTTTTTTCATCAGTTCAGTCACGTTTTTTTCCAAGAAAAAGCGGATCAGTTCACATCAGTTTTTCATCAGTTTACATCAGTTTTTCATCAGTTTATTTTAGTTTTATATCAGTTTACATCCGTTTTTCATAAGTTTACATCCGTTTTTTTTACATCCTTTACCAATGCAAAAATGGACTGTATGTCCGTTTACATCCGTTTTCCATCTGTTTACATCCATTTTTTGTCTGTTCCGGGTTTTTTTTTTTTTACGGAAGAAAAATAGGGTTTTCTTCCATTCAAAAAAACAGATGTCAACGGATGCTGACATTAACGGATGTAAACAGATGATCATCCATTTACATCCGCTAGTCCATAGAAATACAAGGGTAAGCTGTAGACAGATGCAAAACAGACATATGGAAAGCCTGTGTGAAAGAGCCCAAAAAGTAATGCCTCTCCTCAACAGAGGGCTGTGTGTGTGTGTGTGTGTGTGTGTGTGTGTGTGTGTGTGTGTGTGTGTGTGTGTGACTCTGAGCACCTGCATGTAGACTTGGAGTTTGGAGTGGGAGCATGCATGTAATGGAGACTCATCCCAGAGTTATCAGGGGCACAGAGAGAATTGGCGCCAAGCAGCATGAGCTGGGGATGATTGAAAAAACCAAGCTCCAAAGAGAAACTTTTTAAAAAACATCAAAAATACATTATGTGAATTTTGTTATTTTCATCCGTTTTAAGAAAAAAAATGATGTTAATACCACTTTACTTTTAACAATATGTCATACTTGAAGTTCTATAAACAGATACTGTACCAATATCCTAATTCATACACAGTCCAGTCACTGGTAAAATTAGATATTCCCAGGCTTAACATAATCTAACAGTAAATATGTCATGCAAAACCTGAATTGTTCAGATTATGCTGTATTTAACCAATTGCTTTGGAGCTGGGTCGGGTTGCTCAGGAATTCAGAGACTGTTGAGTTATACTGCTGTCTACAGAAGGATTTGACACTAAACAAAAAACTTGGCCAGCTCGGTATAACTCCTCCTACTCCCACCATGCCTCAGTTTTGTGGAAAAGCAGTACAGAGGGTACAGTCATAGACACAGAAGGGTGAGACCTGCATCCCTCAATGAACTTCCCAGCTATTGATTTTATGGTAAGTATAAGAACCAAATATTATTTTTTGTTCATTGAGGGATACAGAAAATCGGAAACTGCTGGGGCATCCAAAAACAGTCCAACTTTGCAGCAGCAACAGCAGTTTCATGGCCATTAGAGACAGCCTGTACACTGCAGTAGTGCACCAGATCTGTAACATGCTATATTCACTGTAGAATGGAATCTACTATTTTAATTTCTTGCTGCATCCCACCTGTAAATATGCTTAGGAAAAATTGGGCCGTCCTACACCTTAATTAAAATACAGCAGTAGATCTTAAAAGCTTCGACCTTTTGTAATAATTTATTTTCTAACCTGCACTAGGAACTAATATCTGTAATCTGATTGGTCACATTGGGCAACACCTGTTCTTTTTCCCTAATGCATTTAAATGTATTTTATTGTACAGCTGACCATCAATGAAATAATGATCTTTCTTTCTGGTCCTGGTTCCTTTGGTCTGAAAACTTCAGCTCATTAGACTTGGATGACCGAAACAAAGGAAATTCAAAGAAAATCAATACAATAGAAATACATTTTTTGTACAATGTGCCCTTAGTGTGAAATTATTGGAAAAATATTTAGTAGATCCCAAATCTAATAAATACACAGGAAAAACTATATTGTGACATTTGGTGCCTAAACGTTTCCATCTTGTCTCCTGCTTGCGGATGTTTACAAAAATGAAAATAATTAAATATATGAGGTGTGAGAATGCGGGAACCCATAGACTATGTAAGTAATATAAAGTTACTTACTTCTCCAGCATTCATGTAAACGTAAACTCTCCCCTCTTCTCGAACTGTGCTTTGCATTGGTGCTCCAACCAGTAAATCTGAAAGTCCATCACCATTGAGATCCACAGCACACACAGATGCTCCAAAGTATGAACCAAGCTAGTAAAAAGAGAAAATACAGAATTATATATTTTTTTGCTAATTTCACAATACATTATTATCACAGTTCTGTAATTCCCTTCCAACTATCATTTGTATCATTTAGAGAATGCAGGTACAAGGCAAAGAAGGATGTTATGTTACTGGCCAACTATCCCTATTTCCAAAATATGTGAAATTACAGTTGCAAGAAAAAGTATGTGAACCCCTTGGGATTAAGTGGAGTTTTGCATGAATTGGGCATAAAATGTGCTCTGAACGTCATCTAAGTCACAACAATAGAAGAACACAGTCTGCTGAACATAATGCTACATAAACATTAGATGTTGCCATGGTTTTAATTGCACATAACATGTAAACATTCACAGTGCAGGGAGGAAAAAGTATATGAACCTTTGGACTTAATAACTGGTTGACCCTCCTTTGGCAGCAATAACCTCAACCAAACGTTTCCTGTAGTTGCAGACCTGCACAACGATCTGGAGTAATTTTGGACCACTCCTCTTCACAAAACTGTTTCAGTGTAGCAATATTCTTGGGATGTCTGGTGTGAATCGCTCTCTTAAGGTCATGCCACAGCATTTCAATCGGGTTGAGGTCAGGACTCTCTGACTGGGCCACTCCAGAAGGCGTATTTTGTGCTGTTGCAGCCATTGTTTTTGTTGAATTTACTTCTATGCTTTGGGTCATTGTCCTGTTGCATCACCCATCCTCTGCGGAGCTTCAGTTGGCGGACAGATGGTCGTACGTACGTTTTTCCTGCAAAATGTCTTGATAAACTCTGGAATTCATTTTCCCATCAATGACAACAAATCCGTCCAGGCCCTGAGGCAGCAAAGCAGCCCCAAACCATGATGCTCCCTCCGCCATGTTTTACAGTGGGGATGAGGTTTTGATGTTGGTGTGCTGTGCCTTTTTTTCTCCACACATAGTGTTTTGTGTTCTTCCCAAACAACTCAATCTTGGTTTCATCTGGTCCACAGTATATTTTGTCAGTAGTGCTGTGGAACATCCAGGTGCTCTTTTGCAAACTTCAAACGTGCTGCAATATTCTTTTTGTACAGCAATGGCTTCCTCCGTGGTGTCCTCATCCCATGTACTCCCATTCTTGTTTAATGTTTTCCTTATTGTAGATGTGTCAACAAAAATGTTAGCATGTGCCAGAGATTTCTGTAAGTCTTTAGCTGACACTCTGGGATTCTTCTTTACCTCATGCAGCATTCTGCCGCTGTGCTCTTGCAGTCATTTTTTACAGGACGACCATGCCTAAGGAGAGTAGCAACAGTGCTAAACTTTCTCCATTTGCAGACAGTCTGTCTTAACCGTGGACACATGAACATCAAGGCTTTTGGAGATACTTTTGTAAACCTATCTGGCTTCATGCAAGTCAACAAATCTTGATCGTAGGTCTTCTGAAAGCTCTTTTTCTGCCCATGGTTTCACATCAGACAGTGCTTCTTGAAACCAGTAAACCCAAAACAGGTGTGTGTTTTTTAAGGGCAGGACAGCTGTCAGCAACACATCCAATATCATCACACTGATTGGAGTCAAGGTTGGCTCACTCCTGGCTCCAATTAGCTCTGGGAGAAGTCATTAAATCTTAGGGCCTCACATACTTTTTCCTCCCTGCACTGTGAATGTTTACATGTTATGTGCAATTAAACCAAGGCAACATCTAATGTTTGTGTAAGTATTATGTTCAGCAGACTGTGTTCTTCTGTTGTTGTGACTTAGATGACGTTCAGAGCACATTTTATGCCCAATTCATGCAAAACTCCACGTAATCCCAAGGGGTTCACATACTTTTTTCTTGCAACTGTACATTACTAAACAGCAAACGTACAAAGTCTCAAATAAGGTTTAACATGGTTTTGTAATTTCAAAATGTTTGCAATATTTTTAAAATTTGCTTTAAAATAATACCAGGTGATCTTATACCGTAATGTTCCTTGTTCACAAACTCTTTATTTATGGGGGGGACAACTGTCTCCCATATGTGATCCTAGCACTATCACCCTGTCACAGGCACCTTTGGTTGAGCCTGCAAGTGACTGTGTTTGATACACACTGCAACAAGTGAAAACAGTATTTTTTATGTGATAAAAAAAATCCTTAACTTTAACACCCAAACTTATCAATTAATTAATGGATTGTCAGCTAGTAAGAACTCTTAGGTTTCTAGATTCCTGAAGATGAGCTGACAATGATAACCCAATTTACCATAATTTGAACCTGTGCTAGTGTGCTAAAGTGGAGCAGACTGCTTAAGTGCAGCAATGCCTGCATGAAAAAGCAAACAAACCCCATGGAAAATGAGGTATGTTTCCTGTAACATCTTATGTTTCCCATATGCAGCAAAACAAACTGAGGTACAATGTATTTTAATGGTAGTAAAACTGCTTCCTGCACATTTCAGGTGCTTACATGTATTCTTGGTATATTCATGGTTCACAGAGCTCCTCAAAACCCAGGTGCTATGTTACCCCCACATCTTTCTATTAGCCAACCAAATGATGGGCTGCCTCACCAGCAAATAAGAAGGGGGGGGGGGGTTGTTGGAGACAGAACCAAGACAAACAGAAGCTGTAGTTATTACCTAACAGAGCATCTGGGTCTTAGAGATACCCATTTGAAGATAACCCAAGAACCCAACTTCTTTGCAAACCTAAAGCCCTCTTAGAATATAAAGCAAGCCTACTCGTTCATGAAAGTAGAAAGTCATAGCAGGCAAAATATCAGGTATTGTACATAGATAAACACGTTTAGTGCTGATCCTTTAAAATAAAATTTGTCAATACATTTCCAAAATCCAGTTAAGTTAAAAGACTGTTTTTTCTTTAATTGTGCTTCTTTAGAAAATACAGAAACAAGTAACAAAAGAGGAACTGGAAACGACCAAAACCAACTTGCGTGATCTCAGATGTAACAAAGTGGTTTTAAAAAAAAAAACACACACCTTTTTACCTTCAGCTTCAAACTGCAAAATCAGCATCCTTCCCTCCACTGCAAAGATGTAGACCTGGGAAACACAAAGCCAGTCAGCATAATTTATTACATTTAAGTCTTTGTTTCTGTCTCTGGTTTAGTCATGGAAATTGTGCAACACTTTTTATCCTTTTTTTGACAAAGCACTATCAAGACAGAAACAGCAGTAACGTCTGTTAATGAATTGCATCACCGATACAGCTAAGATATATGCACAGATCACTTTGTGCAGGTGGACCAACAGATAGTACAAGTTGTGTCAAAAAAGAAATGACTTAAGGCTCCATGCACACTGGGTGTTTTGATAACGCCGATAATGTTAGCTGTGTAAAGTCACGTTAAAAACGTGAGTTTTTCAGCTGTTTATAGTGTTTTTGCATTAGCGTTTTAGTGGGCATTTTCCTGTGTTTTGCGGTTTTTAGCATTTTTTAGTGTTTTTATGGCCCTCAAAAAAATTGGGGGGTCGAAAAGCAGCCAAAAACACCGGTTTGCGGTCTTTTACTGCGTTTTGCCACATTTTTCAGCGTTTGAGCATTTTTACAGCTAAAAAAAACTCTAGAAACCCCACTAGTCCTGGGTTTTTTTTCTTCCCAGCCAAAAAGCATCCCTGCCAAAAAAACGTTTGATTACAATCTATGTGTGCATGGGCACATAGGATAACATGCTAGGTTTACCAGCTGTAGAAAAAAACGTCAAAAGTCTAAAACAGTGGCTGAAAAAAACGTCCAGTGTGCATGAGGACTAATACTTAGTAACTTTTACAATGTAGTTCTTTTGTAGGTATTAATTTCATTTGCACTTTCACCCTCTGAGTTATCTGTGATGATGGAAAAAAATAAAGTGTATTTTACCCTAAATAGTTGTTTACATACTATTTTATAACTCATAGTCTCTATCATTTTTCTTTTCCAATAGATTTTTATTCAGATTTTCAAACATAAGACATAGGACAATGATACATTTAATTTTCCAACACGCATCACATAGACAAGTAGAGAGAGAGAGGCGTAAGAGAGATAATGAGTTCACCCTCCAATACACTTTGATGTCAGCTCATAACTATACTAATGTATTCAACTAAAAAATCCATTCTAAAAGGCTGGTAATGCAAAAGAGAGGAACAGCATAAAGATGCTGTTCCTCTCTTTTGCAGTAACATCTTTATGACAAAATGGGAAAGAGATATGGGTTTGATGAAGATAGACAGAGAAAGATGTTTAGATTGATACACGATAATGTTAGTATGAGAGAGGTTGAGGTTAATTATAAGTGTGTGACACGATGGCACATTACACCGAGTGTAGAGCACAAGATGAATGGGGAAAATTCAAATATGTGCTGGAGAGGATGTGGAGAGATAGGCACGGTGTTTCACATATGGTGGGAATGTCCGAAAATCCAGGCGTTTTGGAAGATAATAGTCAAGTTGATTGAAGAAATAACTGAAATTGACATAGGGTTAGACCCAACGACGTGCCTCCTACACAATGTGGAGATGTCTGTAAATAAATATAAAGATTCAGGTATTTGGTACCTCTTGAATGCAGCGAAAGGGTTGATACCCAAGTTTTGGCGGAAAGCTGAGGTACCGAAGGAGGTAGACTGGATTAATAGAGTAAACCAGATAGGTAGAATGGAAAGATCATACCATATGCAGGAAGATAGGATGAGAGTTTATTTCAGGAGATGGGAAAAGTGGGAAAGAGCAGGATTGAAAGAGAAATATAGGACAATATGAACTAGGATGTTAACAAAAAATTAATAAGCCTCAAGAGATTAGAATGGGCTAGAGTCTGCAGAGGGGGAGGAGGGGGGGAAGAGGGGCGGGAGGGGGGGGGGGGGTAGTGGGACGGGAAAGAAAAGAGTTTTTAGAAAGGGAAAGGTAGAAATGTAATAAATGTCTATTTGTATGAGAATTATTTCCCTTTTTGGGT